CACAATAATAATAAAAACAACAACATAACAACAAATTAATCGTCTAGAAGCTCAGATAATTCCTTTTTCGAGAGTCGTCCTCTCTTGAACTTCTTCAACAATGCCATATCGCTAGCCATTTCCTCCCAGTCCTCTTCCTTACTATTATTTGTGCTGTCATCATCTTTAGAAATTTTTCTTTTCCTTTTGCTTTCCATTGCATTTTCCATTTCCATTTCTTTTTTCTGAAAATTTCAAACTATCAATTGGAATACGAATGTGAACAACTGAAAAATCCAATGAAAAACGACCTTTTCGGATGCATTTTTCTGCGCTTTTTCCAGTGATTTTTCCTCATTTTTCAGTTTTCGTTGCTTCAGACGTTGAATTTCCCTTGATTTCTGCTGGAATTTTATTTGCGATGTATCAATTTCATCAGAACGTTTGAATGCGCTCAAATCGCGGTCTTTCAACTCGGGCATTCGAGGTAGCCTCAGCAAGCTGTACGCATGCGCTAGACCGACCACATTTAAATCTGCAAATATTATTTATTATTATTATTAATTACTATTCATTAGAACATTTTATGATTAATAATTATTATTTATTATTGGTAAACTTTACTATAAATGAAAAAAAATTCCAAAAAAAAACACATACTTTTCAACCCACAAACAATACCACAATCGTGTTTCACATACGATTCGATCATCGATACAAACGCTCTGGTACCACATTCCAGGATATCGCTGCAAAATTTTTCAACTTTTTTTTGAATTTTCACAAGAAACAAATCAGCAACATTCGTAGCAAATTGCGTGCCAAACTTGAAGGCCCGCCCACAAACATTGGCAAACTGCCAAACCACAGAAAACCCCGCCCACAAGCATTGGAGAGTTGCCAAACATTCCAAAATTCCGCTTAGCGATTTAAAAAAATTGCTAAAAAATCCTCCTACCGATCTTGGACGGCCATTTTGATGGTCCTAATTCGTAATTCTTCAGCTTTCAACGCATTCGACGTTTTGATTTTAATGTTTTCCATACGCAAACTCTCATATTTGGATATGAATTCAACGTAACCGCTCTCTTCAGTGGTTAACAGCAGCAAATTTTTGCCCGGACGTCCGCTACGTGCACACCGTCCTGCACGATGCACGAACCAACTGAAATTGGCGGCTGGTCTCGAACAGAACTATACAGTAGCTATGAAGCAGCGCACGCGCGCAGATGCGTGCGACAATGGGCGGGGCGTACGGCCGATACGGTGTGTCTGAGAACGCCACAACATAGCCGCCTAGGGTAGCCCGGCCCCCGTCGCATGGAACATTTATAATAATAACAATAGTAAATAGAAT